CCTACCCCCCACCCCCCAGCCAGCATAGTTAGTTGCCTAGGTAATAGTTCTTGTTGCAGTTCCAGTTCCTTCTGCCTTACAAAGGGCTGGTCACTGTGGTGCACAGCTGGACACTATACTGCACGTTGTATAAACCAATCCCCAGTTGACAAGCTATTCTGCCTCTATATTTTCTGCTTGGTCATCCCATATAAGCCCTAGATCACTAGCGATTGAAGCCTGATACTCTGGAAATGATCCTTAACAGTGCCCATCAACATAAATACATCTTCCTCCAAATCCTGGATTTCGTTTTGGTGTTTTTGGTGTTGTACTGGTTTGTGTTCTGCTGTGAGACAAGATCTCTCTCTGTAGTTAAGGCTGGCCTCGAGCTTTTTTTTTTTTTTTTGGAACTGGAGATTGAACTCAGACCCTTGCGCTTACAAGGGAAGTGCTTATTCCACTGAGCCGTCTCTCCAGCCCCCTGGCCTCGAGCTTGTAGCAATTGTCTTGCTTCAGCCTCCTGAGTGGTCTGATTATAGGTACATGCCACCAAGGTCAGCTTCCTCGCTCTATATTTAACACTATGAGAGGTTGCCTAAATTTCTTTTATATTTTTGTCTATGATATGTGTGCATGTGAGGTACTGGGGATGGAACTCAAGGTCTTCACACTGAGCTAACGCCCTCAACCTTTATTTATTGATGTACTTGTTTATTTATTGCTTTTGAGACAGAATCTCACTAAATTGTCGTATTACCCAGGTTGGGCTCAAACTTGTGATACTCCTATTTAGCCGCTCACACTGAAAGGATTATTGGCATGCACCACCACACTGGCTTCAGTTTTACAAGGACTTTGTATGGAGCTTTCTGTAATACGGGATTTGATATTAAAGTATGGATAAGGATTACCACAAAATATCCTAAATCATATGATACTCATTTTTTGTTGCTGTTATTTTGTTTCCTTGGGAGAGGGTCTCCCCCGTATTTCAAGCTGAGCTCGAACTCACTATACAGCCCAGGGTGGCTTTGACCTCGCGGCGATTCTCCTGCTCAACCTCCCCAGCACGGGGATTACAAACGTGCGCGCCCAAACCCAGCAGCCCCACTGGCTAGCCGAGGTCGCGGAGATGGCCGCCCAGGGGGACGACTGTTGCCACAGCATTGCTACAGCACCACGGTCTGACACCATTGGCACTATTAACCCTGCTGCGGGTCCCTCCAGCGGCGCCGGAACCGGATGCCGCGCAGTTCACCCATTCGGGTGCTATCCTGGTCTCAGTTTCTAGCGCGTTCCGCTACTCGCGAGGCGGCGAGGGCAACCACAAGGGCGACTCAAAAAGACCGGAAGTAACACATGAAAGAGCCCGGAGCCGAAGCTGGCCAAGGCCTAAACAGTCGTTTTGAGGTCTAAACGTAAATATATATACATATATATGTATATATACGTAGATTTTTTTTAATTAAAAAAAAAATCACCCGCCCGGCCCACGGCGGAGACCCGCCCGCCGCGCGGGGAGGAGCGGAGCTTCCGGGTCAGGGGCTTGCCGCTTCCGGGTCAGGGGGCCGGCCGTCGTGACCGTCCTCGCCTCGCGGCCATTTTGTCCCAGTCAGTCCGGAGGCTGCGGCTGCGGAGGAGCCTTCTGAGGAGAAGCTGCCAAGATGCTGTCCGTGCGCGTCGCCGCGGCCGTGGCCCGCGCCCTTCCTCGACGGGCCGGGCTGGTGAGTACGGCCAGGGCAGGAAGGGGGCTTCGCGGCAGGTGGTGCGCGCTGGGTGGGGGTCTGCGGGGAGCTGCGGGCCGGTCGGGGGCCGCCATCTTGCTCCGTGGCCGCGCCGCTGGGCCGTCGCCCGTGGAGGGCCGCTTTGCGGCTGCGGGTGGTGTGGGGGAGGAGTGACCTCGCTGTGGCCTGCAGTCGTGCCCCTGGGGCATCCCCGCCCTGGCCTGAGAGCCGCTCGAAGAGGGGACTTGGACGAAGGTCAAGGCTCGGCCTCGGGCCCCCGGGGATTGCTCTGGGGTCAGCGCCGCCGACGGTTCGGCTGCAGCCCGGGAAGGTGGGGACCGCGGTCCGCTCTGTGGACGCGCGTTCGGGGCAGCCTGACATTGGACGAAGGTCAGCAGGCGCCGTAGGTTCTCCTTTGCTCAAGGTCTGCTGGAGAGCGAAGAGATAAGGAAGGTGACTTTGGGGTGCTGGGGTAGGTCGGGGCCGAAGGCTGAGTCCATGCAGAAACGCAGCCGTGATACAGAGAGGCGTTGTGTGACAGATCCAGCGCCAGCGAAGCCGGGCGTGCTTTAAGATGTTGCCCTCCATCGTCACCCTGATGTCTTGAGCACTTGTTAGACAGTGATTGAAAATTCAAAAGTGCATTTGACAGGTGACATGAATGCACTTTTTTTGGTTCTGTTCTTACTCACCTAGGCTTTCAGTTAGCAAAACATGTAGTACAGCGTCCTCAATTTCATCTACCACCTCCAGAGAGTAGTAGCTTCAGAATTGATAGTGAGCACCCAAACCTCATCAGACAGAGATTGAAGAAAAGAAGTACATGTTCCAGGGTGGTTGTAGATTTGTTAATGGCAATTTTAAAAAAAGAACTTGGGTACTTACTAGTTATAAATTGAACTCTTATTTCTCGTCCCTCTGTGTCCACCCGGATCCACCCCCACCCCCACCCCAAGGAACCATGGATTCAATCCTCGCTTAGCTACCTCTGCAGCCCTTTTTGTGTTTGCTTGCTTGCTTGTTTTTGTATTTTAGGGAAGGGTCTACAGGGTGTTCCACCTGCTTTACAGCTTCCCAAGAGCTGGGATTACAGGTGCCACACCCAGTCTCAATTGCCAAGTATCAGTGGTCCTCTCAGAGTGCTCTGGGGCCTGGCAGGCCCATGATTGAACCCCTGCCTCCAGGCCGTTTAATCTGCTGAGCTATTTGGCCTGCCCTCTTTGTGTGTCATGAAACAGGGTTCTCTTAAAAATTGGCTTAGTAGCTGGGGTGGGGTTTCTCATGCCTCAGCTTCCCATGGTGCTGGCATTCCAGGTGTGCACTGCCATGCCCAGCTTTTTTGTTTTGTTTTTAAGAAAAATAGGAAATAATTTGCAATTTACCCCTTAGAAATTGTATTGTATTGAGAATTGCCACAACTCAGTTGAAATCTAAAGTCAAAGTAATAGTAGCTAGAAGCTTTTAGAGGGCTAGATACTTATACCTTGTGAATGTTTTTTTTTTTTTTCAGATGGATTGCAGTGTGTGCGTGTATGTGTATGTGTGTGTGTGTGAGCCAGGTCCCCAGCCTTGGATAACATGTAGTTAAATACTACTTTTTTTTTTTTTTTAATACAGGATCTCTCAGTAAGTCCAGGCTGACCTTGAAATCATTATGTAGCCTGGGCAAGCTTCAAACTTAGTGATCATCCTGCCTCAGTCTCTTTGTAGTGCTGGAAGTAATAGACTTGTGCCACAATGCCTGGTCTTTTAAATACTTTTAAGGGCTGGGGAGATAGCTCAGCAGTCTAAGTGTCTGCTTGGCAAGTGCAAGGACCTTGGTTTGATCCATGTGACCACATGCTCTGCCAGCCAGTGAAACCTGGCAGTGGCACATGCCTATAATCCTAGAGCTGGGCAGGCTGAGACAGGAGGATCACTACGAGTCTGAGCTGCGTAGCAAGGCTTTGTACCAAATAAAGATGTTCTTAAAAATTAAATACTTGTACAATGTGTGCCAGGAGCTAAGATGTGTATCTTGAGATGTTCATTG